GGATAAGCTTTCCCTTGCAAGGGCCTGCCTGTGAATAGGCAGGGGATTTCTTTGAATGCTTGTGGTACCACTGTCCAGATTAGCTATTGTTTTATACCCACAAACCAACCCATCAAAAGGCAACTAGAAACTGATAAAAGGGGTGAAGAGAGAGATGTGAAAGCTATCCTTAAAAGTATAAAATCCAGGCCCGGCGCGGTGGCGCAAGTGGTTGAGTCCTCACCTTGCACACCCGGGATCCCATACGGGCGCCAGTTCTAATCCCGGCAGCCCCGCTTCCCTTCCAGCTCCCTGCCTGTGGCCCGGGAAAGCAGTCGAGGACAGCCCAAAGCTTTGGGAACCTGCACCCGCGTGGGAGACCCGGAAGAGGCTCCTGGCTTCGGATGGGCATGGTATCGGCCTGTTGCGCTCACTTGGGGAGTGAATCATCGGACGGAGGGTCTTCCTCTCTGTCTCTCCTCTCTGTATATCTGCCTTTCCAATAAAAAAATAATAAAAATAAATCTTTTTTTTAAAAAAAGTGTAAAATCCATAAACCTTTGGATCCCAGGAGATTGCTTCCCTAAAACAGGGTAGGAGTTAAGCACAATGAAGTACACAGGTATCACTGCCTCATCGAAGGCTTCCAAAACTTGAGCTTATCTGTATTGCCCATTGTCCTTTTTTATTATTAGAATGAGCATATCCCATCTGTCCTCACAGGGGCTCCTCACTGTTCTCTCTGCCAAGAGGAATCTTAACAGCTGTGCCAAATGATGCCCAGGAGGATTTTCCTATGCCTCTACTGTCAACTCCCAGGGATCCTCACACATCCACACTCCAATATAAACTGCTATCCCTTGTTCTCAGTAGTAAACTCCTAACAGGGACAAGAAGGTTTCCTCTGCTGAGCTTGGCTAACCATAGGCAGGCTTTGTGTGCCTGGTCCTCTGGGTGTGACTTTCTCAATATGCCTGCTCCCTTTTAGAACAATGGTCGAACTCTGCTTGTGTGGTCTTATGTTAGAAACTGTCTGCTGGACCAGCCACACTGGATCATACATTTGCCAAGAAAAGCAAAGTCTTTCATCCTGTACTCAGTTGACAAACTGAGGCAAGACAGTTCCTAAATTAATCAGTATATTGAATTGCATACAGAAATAAAATAAGCAAAAGGAACGTATGAAAAAGCAGAGGAAAATGTATCAAATAAAATTGAGTGCTAAAAACAAACCAAACAATTTGTGTCTATCGAGGCAAATTTTATTATTACTATTATTTGAAAGATGGATCTTTATAGAGAAGCGAGAATCAATTCTGGGTAACGACCGAAGCTGAGCTGATCCAAACCCTTGAGCCAGGAGCTTCTTCCAGGTCTAGCACATGGGTGCAGGGTCCCAAAGACTTGATCCATCCTCGACTGCTTTCCTAGGCCATAGGTAGAGTTGGATCAGAAGTGGAGAAGCCAGGACACAAACCAGCACCCATAAGGGGTACTGGTGTCGTAAATAGAGAATTAGCCTGCATTGCACCAGTCCCAGAAATTCTTTAATGGTCTGGAGAAAACTCCTATACGATGACTGTCGATGGTTCCAGATGCCCCAAAGACTTTGGCAGTGAAGTAAAGGACTTCTCACTCCAGCAACGTGTCACATGGCTCATGACTTCTCAGGCAGGCCTTGTTGAGTGAAATCAGCACTCGTTGTAGTATCTTTGTTTCCAGATGTCAACACTGGAAACAGCATCCAGATTTCTCAATTGCCTATCAGTACAGTTTGCAGTATTGCTTATCAGTGTAAGGTTGACAGGCTTCCATGTTATCAGCCAGCCACTTGCTACAAGAAAATGCTCAAGGACTTGGCACGGTAGCCTAGTCGCTAAAGTCCTTGCCTTGAATGCACCAGGATCCCAGTGGTCCTGCTTCCCATCCAGCTTCCTGCTTGTGGCTTGGGAAAGCAGTTGAGGACAGCCCAAAGCCTTAAGACCCTGCACCCACGTGGGAGACCTGGAAGTAGCTCCTGGCTTCAAATCGGCTCAGCACCGGCCATAGGGGCCACTTGGGGAGTGAACCAGCAGACATAAGATCTTCCTCTCTGTATATATGACTTTCCAATAAAAATAAATAAATCTGAAAAAAAAAATGCTCAAATGAAATTGCTGTTAAAGTACAGACATATTAATAATAATTGAAATATCAATTTACTTAGTCACCAGAATCGTAACAGAATTTTCAACAGCACTTCATGCCCATTCCCCAGTGCCAGCAAACATTTTGGCTATACAGCTGGGGTCGTTTCTTTCACTCCCTCGTCCAAGGGCAATTTTTTCTTAACTCTTTTTCTAGCAGCAATGATTCTGGAGGAGGTCCTCGGCAAAGAATTAGTGAGAGTGTGTTAAGAGAGACACTTTTGTTCGAGTTCCTTGCATGTAGATCTAGAAGCTAAAATGTGAATCAAAGGGTAGAGGTTTTGTTTTTGTTTTTTTTTTTTTAGGATTTATTTATTTTTATTGGAAAGTCAGATTTACAGAGTGAAGGAGAGACAAAGATCTTCCATCTGTTGGTTCACTTCCCAAGTAGCCAAAAGGCTGGTCCTGAGCCAGTTCCTCCAGCTGGTCATTGGATTACTGGAGTATGTCAGGGACCAGGATATCCCACCTGGGAGTTCAGCAGGAGGTAATTGTTGCTCGGGAATGGTATGAAAACCTGCTGGCACCAGCCTCTCTTGAAGGATGCAGAGACCTTAGGTTGCTGTGGAGAGGCCTAACAAAGCTATCACTGCTAGAAACAAAACACCATTGCTTCTAGGGGAAAAACATAGACAAACCCCGTATGTCTGGGCAGAGATAGGAAACGCTTGCATGTGGGACTGGTGAAGAATCATTGCCAGGGCTGGATCCTTGCACAGCAGGCTAAGTCTACCTGCAGCTCTGGAATCCCATATGGGCGCTAGCTTGTGTCCCAGCTGCTTCACGTCCTATCCAGCTCCCGGCTTATGGCCTGGGACAGCAGCAGAAGATGGCCCAAGTCCTTCGGCTCCTGCACCTACATCCTGGCTTCAGATCGCCTCAGCTCTGGCCACTGCAGCCATTTGGGGACTGAAAGTGGATGGAAGATCTCTCTGTCTTCCCCATCTGTAACTCTGCCTTTCAAATATTTTTTTTTTTAACTAATCATTACTGCTAGAGAGTGAGCTAATGCAACTGAGAAAGCAGAAGACGCCCCAAGTCATCAGCTACCACTTCCTGTGTGTCATGGCCATTTAGGTAGTGAAGGTGTGGGCCCGGTGAGGTAGTGTAGTTGCTAAAGTCCTCGCCTTGCACGCACTGGGATCCTGTATGGGTGCCAGTTCTAATCCCGGCAGTCCCACTTCCCATCCAGCTCCCTGCTTGTGGCCTGGGAAAGCAGTCGAGGATGGCCCAAAGCCTTGGGACCCTGCACCCACGTGGGAGACCCAGAAGAGCTCCTGCTCCTGGCTTCGGATAGGCTCAGCTCCAGCCATTGCAGCTGCTTGGGGAAACCATTGGACAGAAAATCTTCCTATCTGCCTTTCCAATAAAAATAAATCTTAAAGAAAAAAAAAAAGGAAGTGAAGGTGTGTGTGTGTATACTTGCCTTTCTGTAATTCTGCCTTTCAAATAAGTAAATAAATCTCTAAAAACAATTTCTGGGCCCAGTGTGATAGCCTAGTGGCTAAAGTCCTTACCTTGCATGCCACAAGGAACCCAGATGGGAACCGGTTTGTATCCTGCCTGCTCCACTTCTTTTCCAGCCCCCTGCTGGTGGCCTGGGAAAGCAGTCCAGGACGGCCCAAGGACTTGGGACCCTGCACCCAAGTGGGAGACTCTGAGGAAGCTCTTGGCTCCTGGCTTCGGATCAGCTCAGGACTGGCTGTTGCAGCCACTTGGGGAGTGAACCAGCAGACAGATCTTTCTGTCTCTCCTTCTTTCTGTAAAATCTGACTTTCCAATAAAAATAACTATTTGAAAAAATTTGTTTGCCACCTTCCATTTTAGAAGGATTCCTAGATTCCATCCTTAGTTCCAGCTCCAGCCAACGCAGACCTTGAGAAGGAGCAAGGCACCACTCAAGCACTTAGCACTCTGCCTCTCATGCGGGAGAGCTGATCTGAGCTCCCAGCAACGAGCTTGGCCCAGCCTGGTCTCACCTGCTGTAAGCATCTGGGAAGAGGGCCAGAGGACAGAGACTCTGCCTGCATCTCCAGTTAGTTTCCATCCCAGTTAAAGCATGTAAATCATGAACTGCAGCGTCCCAAGGCCATCCTCAACTGCTTTCCCAGGCCACAAGCAGGGAGCTGGATGGGAAGTGGGGCTGCTGGGATTAGAACTGGCACGTATATGTGATCCTGGTGCGTTCAAAACGAGGACTTTAGCCACTAGGACACCGCTCTGACGCGTGCTGGTTCTAATCCCAGTGGCCCCACTTCCCATCCAGCTCCCTGCTTCTGGCCTAGGATAACACCCACTCCTGAATACTTTTAATGAGCTCCACATTACCCACAACACCTACTACAATATAGTTGCTCAGAAAAGGAAAGTCTGAACATATACAGTACAGACAACACACATAATTTTTAACATTTTCATTCTGTGATTGGTCAAATCTGCAGACGCAGAACTCAAGAACAGGGAAAGCTCCTGAGGTGAGATCCACTCACCTCTTCTTCATAGAAACTCCAATCCCTTCCTTGCACATGTAGTACTAATTTGGTAGGTATTCTCATTTTTAAAACCAAAAAACACAAAGTCAGCACACAGAGAACTCTGGCTGATTAAAACGCCCATCCAAATCCTAAAGCACAGAGGGAGACAGGCAAGAAGCCAAAGACATACTGAAGGACTGTAGTCTGAATTTTCATCAGGAATCTACACGGAGTCTTTCTACAATGCTGACCACACACAAGACATAAAGTCCAAATGAGAAGGTGTACCCCAATCACTCTTCCTCAATTAAGGGCTAAGAAAATCCGAAGTCAATGAAACAGCAAAACACAGAATGGTAAATTCCTTATTTATTCTTCACTTACAAAAGGACACTTGCAACAAATAAATATAAAATGGAAATGTCATATTTAGCAATGGCCAGAAACACATTTTGTTGGTGTTCTCCACAGGAATAAACTAGTAAGCATACCGATTACACCTACCTCCTATTTTTTTCTTTAAAGTCAATTTTTAAAATTTCCTATGATTTTTTTAAACAGTGCATTCTCAAAATTAATAATCCTTAGACTATCCAGGAATCAAGACATCTAAATCAACAAGTTTTTCAAAATGTGTGTACACATACATACACAAAATAATGTTGCCCAGAACCCCCAATCAATGGATATTCTTACAAGTTTTTAATTTCTTAGAATTTGCATGAAAAGAGTCTATTCTGTTCAAATCTGCATGGCAAATAAAGTAAAACAGAAAACTCAGTACCATGCACACACACTTTCCTGTCCTAACAGAAAATATTCAATAAAGGCATATTTAACACACACTGTACATACCACGTGTTCTCTTAAAGCTAAAAACATCCTGGTTTCTTATACCTTGGGCAAGATGCAGCAGGCTGACAGATCCCAAAACTTTCTGTGATCAGTCGGCTAATACATGTGACCCTGCCTGGCGGGTTCCCAACACCACTCCCAACTGGTTCTTCAGAGTAACAGGCCTGAAGAGCCTTGCTAATACTTTCAAATTATTATTCCATTTAGTGAGCTATCAATTGAGTCGAAATATGCACAATTATTACAAACCACAACCAAGGGACTGTTTCTTTTAATCTTGCTCTTTAGAACATTTTTTTAAAAATCTGTGCTCTATAATTACTTTCACTTTATGAAAACCACTTAAAAAGGTAGTAAGCAAACATGAAATGTTTACTGGGTTATCATCAGAGTCACCACCCAGGTGTGACACGGACCTTCGTGCACTCAGTGTACCGCAAGCCCTGTGCTAAGAAGCACTTGCAGATGGAAGAAAGGCAACATCCTCATCCTACTTGCGATTAAACCATTTCATGTACTTCCGGCCACATGACTGCTGAAGTTCTCCAAAGCAACAGGTTTTTCTCCCGGTTATCTAAAACTTTCTTTAAATTTTAGATCCAATTTAAAATCAGGGTGAATAGAGTTTTACAGTTTGTGGATGCAGATCATAAATTATGAGGTTAATTTCCTAGATGGCGAGTCACAGCTCTCCAGGATTGTGACCCAAGGGAAGAGCCTGTATCACCGAGCACAATCAGGGATCCTCCGGCAGTCACGGGGCGCTGGGATTCAGTGACGTCACCTCTGCACTGGGGAAGACAGCGTCATGACGGCTGCAAATACACCTGCTGCTCCTGGGACAGACGCCATTGCTACTGCTAAGTTCCCACGTTAGGATATTACAGAACTCCAAAGTGAACTCCAGGAAACATACATCTGCAATGCGAACTTGAAGATAGTACAAACAGCAGTTGGATGGAATCTGCCTGCAATCATCCTTTATTTTTTTTTTTTTCCTTTAAGGCTACAGAAAATCTGCACAAAAACAAGGCAATCAGTTCTCATAATAAAAATACCCCCACGACAGCCAGGTCTCAGGTCAGATGCCATAGTGAGTGGACATCGTGGCACAGTCTATTGCACAGGTACACTTTCTTGGGAGTCAGCAGGGTTAGGATCAATTCTTTCTGGAAATATTAGCTTCTCACAAACGGCTTCCTTTATTGGTAAATACTGTGATATTTCATTAGGTTCCGTGAAGAGAGAAGGTGAAACATGCTAAAAAGTACATAAATCCTGTTAGCATATATTCCATTACATTAACACTTATTGAAAATATTTTGACTCTAGTATTACTTCAAGCATTCAACTTAAAATACAACAATATCTGCGTATTAATAACATGATTAAGTGCTTCTAAAAATGATAGGTATTTCCTGTCAATGAATCATTCAGTTTTGTTTCTGAATTACTTATTGAAAGATGACAGGGTTATGTAATTTATAATGTCCCCATAAATGTCATAAGAATTTAATGCATCGTAACCTGATCCCCTCTTCCTGCTTTTTTAATCTGAAATACTAGTTTTCAATTAGAGTCCAATATCAGGCCTACAATAGAATCTGATTTATTTTTCTAACTCAAGTATGCTCTATACTCAGAAAGAAGCACTAAGGAGAAACAGAAAAATGCCCAGTTTATACAAAGGCATAACTTTTTCAGCAGCCTACTGTAAAATCCTAAACTCAACTTCCAACACTAAAGTTTAAATACTTACCATTAAATTAGCAATTTTGCTTTCTCGTGATGTATATTCTCGTAGCATGTAGGTCTTGTCAGCCTAAATTAAAATAATTGTAAGGTTGCAATATATTTACATTGTTTATCTGAGAGCAGAGAGACAGAGACGGAGCACCTGCCCGCTGATTCATTCCCCTCAAGCCTACAGTCAAGCTGGGAGCTGGGAACAATCCAGGTCTCCCACGTGGCTGACACGGACCCAGGAACGTGACCCATCCCCGACTGCCTCCCAAGGCACATTAGCAGGAAGCTGGGCACAGGAGCAGAGCAGGGACTCCTCCCAGGTTCTCTGCTATGGGATATAGTGTCCTAGTGCCACACCAAAAGCCTGCTCACTGCTCAAACCTTTAGCAGTTTAAAAAACATTTTTAATCATAGGAAATGTAATGTTTTGATAATAGTTTGCAGTCAATAGTGACTCTGAAAGACCCACAGTTACAAGTCAGATCGACTGACGTGAAACATAAAACATTTTCAAACTTCCAATTCTGGGATCAACAGGTCCAATATCCAATATAAATGAGAACAGTTACCTCATGGTAAAGCCTTGTGTCATTCATTCTGATAAGCACCCCATCGATTCGCAAAAAAAATCGCAACAGCAGGAAAAAGCTAGTAGGCATTACTCTCTGGAAAAAAAGGACATTAGCGTCTCAAAAAATAATCATTACTTTCCTAAAGGAAAAACCATTTTTTTTTTAATATACAAAAGAACATGGAAGAGCAAGAGCTAGCAATATAGATTCTCCTCAACTCACAATGGGGTCACCTCCCAAAAAATGCATCAAAACTGTGTTTATGTTCCCAACTCACAAAACATCCGAGTTCAGCAACATGGCCCCCTTCGGACTGAGTGTCAGTGGTCTGCCTGCTGATCACAGGACAGAATGCAAGCTGAGCCACTGTGCCGCTGCCACCGCCCAGCATGACAGACCAACATCGCACACACCACTACCCCAGGAGAAAACTAGAGCTCACAATTTGAAGTGTGACTCAACTGAACACCTATAAGCTTTTGTGCTCAAGTGCAGTAAGAATCTCTGCAGTGGAGCCGTCACTCAAAGTCAAGGACTATCTGTATTTAAAATCCCTGAAACACAACTTCAACTCGTACAAGAGAAAAAACACCTGCCTAAGTCAGATAAATGGAGGTTTATATTAAGACACACCGAGTAAATTCAAATTATAATGCTTGTTTTAAAAAATGGCAGTACAGGGGCTGAACACCAACAGTAGTTAAAGCAAATTGAAAGAACCGAATTCTTTGTTGATCATCACTCGTGTTCATTTTACCAAAAACAGAGGTGAGAGATCTTTACACAGAAGGCTCTAATGAACAGCAACCCACTAGATACCATCTCATATTGCCAGAGACTGACTAGGACATGTTTCTAACATCTTCCATCTATGAAACACTTACAAATAAATTCCTATGTTTTCCAACTACTGAAGAAATCCAGTTAGTTGAGATAAGAAGAAGACAGGTGCTGGTGGTAGGTAGGAAGGAAATGGATGAGGTATAAAGTATTTAGGTCTTTAAAAACAGTATGTTTGTATTGGTTACTCAATACCACGTCAACTAATTCCATAACGTTGTAAATTGTTGTTGATGTTATGCTGGGGCCTTTAATTCATCAGGATGATACTCTGCCAGCTCTACCTTCAGACCAGACATAGTCTCTCCAGGAAACCAATGAATTTATCTGGACAATGCGATGCTGGACTCTATGTTTGGTATACGCTTGCAATGAAAGAATCTTGACTGAATTTGAACTACAATACTGCAACAAGGTGGAGGAATCCACTATGGGGGAAGGGCATGGGGAGAGGTTGGGGGAATCCCAGAGCCTATGAAACCGTGTCACACAATGCAATGTAATTAATATAAAAAAAAGTTAAAATCAAAAAAAAAATTTTTAGTGAGTAATTGGGGCCAATGCAGTGGCTCAACTAGCTAATCCTCCACCTGATAGCGCTAGCATCCCATATGGGTGTTGGTTTGTGTACGGAATGCCCCATTTCCCAACCAGCTCCTGGTTTGTGGCCTGGGAAAGCAGTGGAGGATGGCACAAAACCATAGACCTTGCACCCATGTGGGAGACCTGGAAGTGGCTCCTGGCTTTGGATTGGCTCAACTGTGTCCACTTAGGGAGTGAACCAGCAAATGGAAGATCCTTTTCTCCCCGTCTCTCCTTCTCTCTGTAAATCTGCCTTTCCAATAAATAAATAAATAAATAAATAAATACAGTATGTTTGGGGCTGGTGTTGTGCCACAGCAAGTAAAGACAGCATTGCAATGCCAGGATCCCATCTGGTTGGAGTCTCAGCTAGTACACTTCTTTTTTTTTTTTTAAAGATTTATTCTTATTATTTTTTTATTGGAAAGGCAGATATACAGAGAGGAGAGACAGAGAGGAAGATCTTCTGTCCGATGATTCACTCCCCAAGTGAACGCAACAGCCGATGCTATGCCGATCCGAAGCCAGGAGCCTCTTCCGGGTCTCCCACGTGGGCAGGGTCCCAAAGCTTTGGGCTGTCCTCGACTGCTTTCCCGGGCCACAGGCAGGGAGCTGGAAGGGAAGCGGGGCTGCCGGGATTAGAACCGGCGCCCATATGGGATCCCAGGCGTGCAAGGCGAGGACCTTTAACAACACTTGCGCCACCGCGCCGGGCCCAGCTAGTACACTTCTGACACAGCTGCCTGCTCATGTGCTTGAGAACAGCAGCAGAGGATGGCCCAAACGCCTTGGCCCTTGTGCCCACGGAGGAGACTCAGAACAATCTTCTGGCTATGATCTGGTTCAGGCCTGGCCATCGTGGCCATTTAAAGAGTGAACCAAGGGCGCCGGTTCTAATCTCGGCAGCCCCGCTTCCCTTCCAGCTCCCTGCCTGTGGCCTGGGAAAGCAGTCAAGGACGGCCCAAAGCCTTGGGAACCTGCACCCGCGTGGGAGACCCGGAAGAGGCTCCTGGCTTCGGATCGGCATAGTATTGGCCCGTTGCGCTCACTTGGGGAGTGAATCATTGGACGGAAGATCTTCCTCTCTGTCTCTCCTCTCTGTATATCCGCCTTTCCAATGAAAAAATAATAAAAATAAATCTTTAAAAAAAAAAAAGAGTGAACCAATGGATGAAAGATATCTACCCTCCCCTCTCTCTCTAAGTCTGCCTTCCAAGTAAATCTTTAAAAAAATAAAGCAAAAAGAATTTGCTAATCATTACAAAGAAACAATGAGAACATTATTAACTAGGATCCAGATCCAACACCAAATCATAAGACAATTAGTGAGTTCAAGCCTACTGCAGCTGTGACGTATGTGTCTATTTTTATAAATATACTGCATATCATTTCACCATTCTAACTTCTCTTTGTGAATGTGTTTACAATCCCTGGATTGATAGATAAAAGGACGAGACACAGACCCACATGTGTGTAGACATAATGTAAGAAAAAAGTAAGATATTTAATTTCTGAGTAAATGCTTGCTAGAAAAAAAAATGTTCTGCAGTTAATAAGTAAATAGTCCTGGCAAATAAATGAAAAGATGAAATCTGAATACTAGCTAAGCTTATCAGTGCAGAAAACTAGCAGTTGAAATGCGGTGGTAGCTACTAAACAAGGCTGAATGATTGCCACAGTTGCCTGAGGGTGCAAAGGAGAATTTCAAAAAGAAGAAACAGTACAAAAAGCAGAAACATGAAACAGGGAGATATGCCCAGAGACCAACTTAAGAGTTCCCGGAGCACGGGGCTGCGCCAGTGCAGAGGGCACACAGGTGGGAGAACGCCGCCCTCACCTGGAGTCCTTGCTGTCCTATCTCTCTCTCCCTGGCCTTCGGATCTTCGTGCGGGGAGACCTTTCACCCATCCTGCAGCACACTCCTCTAGTTATTCTCCCATCACAGACCCGCACACCCCGACTTAATGCCCACCTCCTTCCATGTCACCGTAGGAACACCATGAGGTCTCTTTACATCACGGTGGGAACACCTACTTTGCTCCTCACTAGGTCTTGCCTAGAAGACCATCCAGCATAAGCACGTGCTCATTCATTATTTGCCAAGTGAAACAGAGGCCAAAAGAGTGGGTCTGTTCTAATTGAAAATAGCAGTTAGAACACTGGGTCTGGCTCCAAACCCACTGCAAGAAACATTTAGTGAACGCTTGTGCAGAAATGGTCAACAAAAGCTCTACTTTATAAACATGCCACACATTACTCATTTCAGTATACTAGCTTGTGTCTGTGAAATGCACTTATAATCCCAGGACTGACAGATAAGAAAAAAAGTGCGGATGTATGTGTGTGTCTGTGTGTAAAATTCACATCCTGAATGGCTTCCACAGCCAAGGCCAGGCCAAAGGTAGGAGCCAGAAGCTTCCTCTGGGTCTCCCACACGGGTGGCTGGGGCCCGAGGACTCGAGTTGTCACTGCTACCCTCCCAGGTGTGTTAGCAGCAAGTTGGATCGGAAAGCAGACCAGCTGGGTCTAAAGCGACACCCATGCAGACTGCCAGCCCTGCAGACGACACCTTGACCTGCCAGCAGCGGTCCCAGGAACAGTATCTGATGTTGACGTCCCTGTCTCTGATAAAGCTTAGGATAAAGCTTTCATGTCTCTGATAAAGCACTATCATTGAGAGATTTAAAAAAAATGTTTATTATAGAAAAATGAAAAAGCGATATTTAATGCTGCCCAGGGGAACTGTGACAGGTTTTACAGAAGAGCTAGAATTTCAGCTGTCTCTTTATAAAAAGCTTCAGTTAAGGTTCTTAAGCAATAGAAATCCAATTGCAAGCTGGTAGTGAATAATCATGACTACATGCTAATGATCCACTGCCACCCCTTTCAGGAGTGTTCCAGCACTAACAGCACTAATGGAAGCAATCCGCTCTCCCGGATAGAAAACAATGCAAATATGCTGGAAATTGAAGAGGTTATTCAACGATTTACTAAAAATCAAACATAACGTTCATTTTCTAAACTATTACCCGCTTTGTTGTCTACAAATCCTACCAACATTGCTTTTGAAACTATGAAAAGTCATGCTCGTCATCTAACGCAAATAAGTAAATAAATTACAAAGCTGGCAGGTCTATTAAAAACACTTTGATAAAGTCATACAAACTTTGAAACTGTATTAAAAGTTTGTAAATGCTGTGCTGGCTATCCAACGACGTTTGCCCTAGACTCAAGTGAAACTACACACCAGCACCTTAGATTCAGTATGATTCAAAGTGGTTTCATTCCTTCCCAGTGATAACAATGGGAGAAAGAGCCGATTTACTCACAATTTTCACACTTAAGCTGGAAACCCCATGATCATGAAGTTCGTCCTCAAACAGAAGCACTTCTTCGAAAAACTTAATCTGCTCTCTGGCTTTCAACTTCTCCGTATCTATATGATCTGTCGTAGGTACAACCTGAAAGGAAAAAGTTAAGAAGCAGGATTTAAAAAAATAAAAAGAAAAAGAACTTGAGGAACGACAGAGGCACAGGAAAGCAGTCTTGGCTATCTTTCCTGCCGGCCCAGACCACAGTTCCTCCGTTTGGTTGTCATCAGCAGACTGAGAAACACTGCAGTCATTAAGATAGCTGCTATCATGGCTTCATAAAAAAAAAAAATCAAATTTACATTCATTCATACAAATCAGATTAAAATCAAGTGCTCTGCTGTTCTGTTGTGATCATGTGAAAATTAATCAACTGAAAATCAGTCCACATGACAAAGTATTACTACAAAGGTTCAAAGCAATTTTGTGTCATCAAAGTCCACTTTCAAGAGATTCATTTGCAGGGAGAGGGAGGAACTGGTGCCATGCGGCAACAGGCTAAGCCTTCACCCTGTGGCACCAACACCCCATACAGGCACCAGCTCATGTCCCAGCTGCTCCACTTCCCACGGCCTAGAGGTCAACTGAAGATGGCCCAAAGCCTTGGGACCCTGCGCTAGCGTGGAAGACCCAGAGGGGCTCCTGGTTCCAGATCAGCTCACCTCTGCTCATTTGCAGAAATGGCTACTGCAGCCATTTTGGGAGTGAACTAGGACATGGAAGACCTTTCTCTCTCTGTCTTTCTCTGTAAATCTACTTTTCCATTAAACATAAATAAGCCTTTAACAAGTAATAAAAGCTAGATAAAAATTTTAAAAAGAGATTCATTTGGAACTTGAGAATACATTCCATTAGAATGTTAAATATATCTTAGATTTCCAACCTAATTCTCCAAATCTACAAACAAGATAAAGTGGTTTATTTCCTAAATAAGAATGCTTAGGAAAACGCTGAATCTCTGCTTGTGGACAATAACTGTTTCAATGTATTATACTGTGGTTCACAGCCACATCGAAACACACCCACCAACAGCATTAAGCAACCCAAGGCAGCTTCACTAATGACACACCAACCCCACTGTCTCCTAATAGCGGACCAGATAGACTATAACATTGTTTTATGCTGCATCTGATTTTAATGCAAGATGTCCAACTCTTCTGTGGTTATCATAAACAAGTGCTGTAGTAGCCAATGAATGGCTCCTTTCTGGTTCACTAAACATGATTAGGTCAGTAGGTTGATTTGTGAGAAAATGGAAAGGACTCTGAGTTTCCAAGAAAGAAGAAAATCTTTCAGGTACTGGCTTTGAGGTATATCAGGACAAGCCATCCTCTGGGAAGCCAACATACCACACAGGCACCAATTGAGTCCTGGCTTCCCCAATTCAATCCAGCTCCCTTCCAATGTACCTGGGAAAGCAGCAGAACATGGTCCAAGTATCTAGACCCCTGCACCCCCATGGGAGACCCAGAGGAAGCTCCTGACTTGGTCTGGTCAAGTCCATTGCAGCCAGCTGGGAATGGACCAGTGGGTGGAGACAGCTTGAATGCTCACGCTCTCTGCCATTCCTCTCTGTATAACTCTGGCTATCAACTAAATAAATACTTTGTACCCACATGGGAGACCCGGAAGAAGCTTCTCGTTCCTGGCTTCAGCTCAGCTCAACTCAGCTCAGCTCTGGCCGTAGCAGCCACTCAGGAAGTTAATCAGTGGACAGATCTTTTTCTGCATCTCCTCTCTGTATGTCTAATGTTCCAATAAAAATAAATAAATCTTTTTTTTAAAAGGAAAGAATTCTCCAGAGACTGTAAGTAGCGTGTATACGGCGGCGGGAATCTAAGAGCATGAGTGAGCGGGCTGAGAGGGACCTGTCGCAGCTCACATGATTCCCAAAATGGGAAAATGCTCCAAATTCCTCAGGTTATCTTCAGATAATACTTAGCCCTCTGCACTTTCACAACGGTTCTTAATTTGTTTCCAATTAAACAATTCTCATAAACCACTGGATATATCTTGACAAGGATGCTGAGATGTCTGCCATTGTCTGTACGAGCAATGTCAGGATGTCAGGACAGGGTTAAACAACAGAATGATGGGCTTATGAAGTACTATACTATTGTAATAATATAAGGGAAATAAGTTTGGGGGAGAAAATTTGATGAATGGGATAGGGGAAATCCCAGAGCCTATGAAATTGTGCCATAAAAGTAAAAATGAACGGGCCTGGTACAGTAGTGTAGCGGCTAAAGTCCTTGTCTTGAACATGACAGGATCCCATATGGGCACTGGTTCTAATCCTGGTGACCTCGCTTCCTATCCAGCTCCCTGCTTGTGGCCTGGGAAAGCAATTGATGAAGGCTCAAGGCCTTGAGACCCTGCACCTGCGTCGGAGACCCAGAAGAAGCTCCTGGCTCCTGGCTTCAGATAGGCTCAGCTCCAGGCATTACAGTCACTTGTGAAGTGAATCACTGACGAAAGATCTTTCTGTCTCTTTTCCTCTCTGTGCATATCTGACTTTCCAATAATAATAACTTTAAAAGGGGAGGGGGTGAATAAATAAAATGAGCTATAAAAAGATTCTCATAACAGTGACAATAGTAAGTAACTTTTTAAATTTCACTAGCAGAGTATTAGTTGAAAATGCATGCTTATGCACATAGAAACACATGTATAAACATTTCTGTTGTAACCTTCTAACCTACACTGAGGCAAAAATGAATTCTTCCTGACAGTTCCAATCCTTGATCACACGATCATTCCCGCCTCTTCCGCTTGCTGATCTGTGAATTTCCATGAATTTCTAATCATGGAAAACCTGACTCCTACCGCTCACCGTCCACTGACTTCGTTTTTTTTTTTTTTTAAAGATTTATTTTTATTATTTTTTCATTGGAAAGGCAGATATACAGAGAGGAAGATCTTCTGTCCGATGACTCACTCCCCAAGTGAGCACAACGGCCGATACTATGCCGATCTGAAGCCAGGAGCCTCTTCCGGGTCTCCCACGCGGGTGCAGGGCCCCAAGGCTTTGGGCCGTCCTCGACTGCTTTCCCAGGCCACAGGCAGGGAGCTGGAAGGGAAGCGGGGCTGCCGGGATTAGAACCGGCGCCCATATGGGATCCCGGGCGTGCAAGGCGAGGACCTTTAACCACTTGCGCCACCGCGCCGGGCCCGCACTGACTTCGTTTTTAAGCCCCAGGATGCTTGTCTACAGCTTCAGAATCGTCAGTCCGCTCTTCTAGGGAAAACACTATCCACCAACGCGCAGTGCTGGAGCGCAGTTCCTTTGTCTCTAGTCTAACTCCAATCATTTCCAATGTCGACGCCAGCACATTTTCCCATTATGCTCACTTTTAAAAGCCTCAAACACAAAGACAATATACAAATGGCCAGCAAACATATCGAAAGCTACTCAGCATCACTAACCAGTAGAAACGTACACATTAAAACAACATGAAGAACATACCACACTAGGATGGCTACTATCAAAACAAAACCAGGGCCCAGCGTGATAGCGTAATGGTTAAGGTCCTCGCCTTGAACACACTGGGATCCCATATGGACACCGGTTCGAATCCCGGCAGTTCCACTTCCCATCCAGCTCCCTGCTTGTGGCCTGGGAAAGCAGATGAGGATGGCCCAAAGCTTTGGGACCCTGCACCCACATGGGAGACCTTGAAAGAAGTTCCTGGCTCCTGGCTTCAGATTGGCTCAGCACCAGCCATTGTGGCCACTTGGGGAGTGAATTATCGGATGGAAGATCCTTCTCTCTGTGTCTGTCTCTCCTTCTGTACAATCTGCCTTTCCAATAAAATAAATACAATCTTTAAAAAAAAAAACCCAGAACCAGAAAATAACGAGTACCCTGTGCTGTTGGTAGAAATGTGAAAGGATACTGACTATCAAACACGGCACGGCGGTTCCCAGCACCACCACTGCTGCGGCACGCCCGGAGAGTCAGAGAATCCGAGGCAGAAGGCCCACGCACCACAGCTCCCACATCCGCGCATGGCAGCTCCCAAATCCGCGCACGGCAGCAAACCCGATGCCAAACAACAGATGAAGGAAACACAGAATGTGGCACATACAATGGAATGCCACTCAGGGATTTTTTTTTTTTAAAGAAGGGACTATTTCGTCTTGTGAACAATATAGCTGAAACTTGAAAACATCCTAGGGAGTGAAACAAAGCGGTCACAAGAAGGTGCTCGAGTCCACTTGTATGAAGTGCTTGAAACTCACAGCAATGGAAAGAATGGTGATTGCAGGGCGGCAGAAGTGGGGATATAGCGGGTACAGCACTTCCGCTTTCCAAGGTGGCAAAGGTCTGGAGATGCGGTCACACCACACACTTCTGAACTCAATGCTCAGTGACTGTTAAGACACTAAATTTCATGCTGGAGCAAATATTCCAATGTGCTTTTTCAAAGAAAAAAAAAATGCTTTTTAACTGCATGGACATTAAGTACATGCGTTATTCCTAAAACACAACGTAAACAGGAACTCGGCCTTTTTAGTTCTACTATCCTGTGTCATCAGTGTAGTCATTTCGCAGGACAGTCACACGCCGAAGGCACGCATGGCCAGGTGCTGCCCTGCACGCCTGACCTTGTCCTCATCACACTCTCATCATCCCGGGTGCCCGAGGCAGCCTGGCTAACACAAGGCACCGCTAGCTTTGACTGCAGCCAAGCCGGCACATCTCAGCCAGCAGCTGTCTCTTCTCACGTCCTGCTACAATGTACTGAGATAACAGATGACACAACAGGAAAGAGAACACACACACACAGACACACACACACACACACAGAAAACAGCAGGAATTCAGGACAAAGCAAAGGCTTTGTGTGAATGCCTTATTCTTTGACACTCTCACTATTCACATAAAATACATGCGCCTGTACAGACAAACACTTCCTAAACAGGTCAGGGATTAGGAATGGTATTTTAGGGAAGGGCTAAATAACTAAACATCCCAGCCAATATTATAGGAAAAACCAAAATCCAAATCAAAACCCTTAGGGCCTATGGAAGTAAACTTAACACATGTTCCTAAAAAAAAAAAAAAAAAAAACAAAAAAAAACCATGGCATATACAGTATATCACCATGCACCACTAGTGGTATATCATGAAAAGATAACACAATTTTAAATATTTGAACCCATTTCTTCTACAAAATAAAGATAATACTCACCATATAAAGTTATAAAGATATTCTAAAAATTAAGCAGCAAAGCCCTAACAAATTTTCCTGGGAAAAAAGTGACTTATTTTTTCAGATTTATTTATTTTTATTGAATAGGCAGATATACAGAGAGAAGTCACAGAGAAAAAAACTCTTCCGTCTGCTGGTTCATTCCCCAAATGGCCACAATGACCAGAGCTGAGCTGACCTGAAGCCAGGAGCGAGCAGCCTCTTTCAGGTCTCCCACGCAGCTTTGGGGTCCCAAGGCTTTGGGCCATCCTCATTTGCTTTCCCAGGCCACCAGCAGGGAGTTGAATAGAAAAGGAGCAAGTGGATACAAACCGGCACCCATATGGGATGCAGGTGCATGCAAGGAGAGGACTTTAGCCACTTAGGTTACCGTGCCAGGCCCATGACACTGTTTTTTTAAAGCAATAAAACAAAGCATGCATAAACCCCAAACCACAAAGCAAAACTATTCAGAAAATAGTTACTTTTATAGTTTTATGGTTTCTTTTATTCCTGGTGTCTTAGTAATATTAATTTATTTCCCCTGATATTTGAGATAACTATATAACACTATAACAACAGCTGCCATTTACTGAGATTTTACTATGTAACAAACAATACGTCAGAACAAGCCTGATCACCAGCTTGCCAAAAGACAAGGCTTAGCACATTGAACGGCTTTTCCAAGCTGGCAAACGGTGGAGCTGGAATTTGAACCCAAAGATGGTTTAGCCAAAGCCTGAGTTCATTACTGTGGTGTGTGCGTGCCAGTTGCGAGCCGCCTCCTAGGACAAACTATACTACAGGCTAAGCAGTGATAAGAGAACGAAACCCATACCTTCCTTCTGCTCCTACTTGGAGCACTTCCTGTTCCACTGCCACAGGTAATACCACTTCACAGCCGTACTGCCTGGATTAAAGTTTCAATCTCCTCACTCCCTGTAGCAAACTTTCCCAGAGAGAACATTAATCTACAAAAAGCTAGGATCACTTGAAACAACTTTGCTCTCCAGAGACTACAAAGGGAGCCGGCGTGATGGCTCAACTGGCTATCTCTCCACTTCACATGTCAGGATCCCATAGGGGCACTGGTTTATGTTTGGGCTACTCCATTTCCCTTCCAGCTCCCTGTTTACAGTTTGGGTAAGAAAGTAGTAGGGAACAGCCTAAAGCCTTGAAACCCTGCTTCCTCATGGGAGATCCAGAAGAAGCTCCTGGTTCCTGGCTTCAGATATGCTCAGCTTGGCTGTTACAGCCATTTGGGGAGTGAACCAGCGAACAGAAGATCCTTCTCTCTGTAAATCTGCCCTTCCAATAAAAATAAACAAATCTTTAAAAAAGAGAGAGAGGAAGCAGGAGAACACTACAGGAGAGCAATTTTTGTATGTTCTCCACTGCATTCACAGCTCCTGGGATTAGCGCCTGGTACACAGTCAGAGCTCAAGAAACATCTATTAGTTGAATGAACAAACACACGTTCTCTTTTACTCCTGGAAACTCAGAGAAATACTTAAAGATTCAAATGATGGAGAAATAGAAAACTAACTGCAAGAAGTACTACGTTTCTCCTCTGAACACCCGTCTTCCTGAGGATCTAAAAATCTCTGTAGAAATAAGAAGCCCATAGCCAACCTTTCTTAACATTTCAGCCTAAGCTTAATATTATGATGAAGGGTCTTCAATAGCTACTTTTTTTTTAAGATTCATTTATTTTCATTTTTATTGCAAAGTCAGATATACAGAGAGGAGGAGAGACAAAGAAAGATCTTCCGTCTGATGATTCACTCCCCAAGTGACCACAACAGCAAGTGCTGCGCCTATCCGAAGCCAAGAGCCAGGAACCTCCTCCAGGTTTCCCGTGTGGGTGCAGGGTCCCAAGACTTTGGGCTGTCCTTGACTGCTTTCCCAGGCCACAAGCAGGGAGCTGGATGGGAAGTGGAGCCACCAGGATTAGAACCAGTGCCCATATGGGATCCTGGTGTGTTCAAGGCAAGGACTTTAGCTGCTAGGCCACCACGCCGGTCCCTTCAATAACTACTTTTAACATAAACAGTTTAGAAACAGGCATGAATTTGTTCTTTCTAATAATCTGTAATACTAATAATCTATTACAATAACACCGAGATATAGACATTCAACTTAAGGAAATCTGCTTCATTTCAATCATCAAAACACAGCAAAGCTCCCAATAGAACATTCACCAACTCTACATTTCTAATGTTGGTAACAAGCAAATGAATCTATCCCTAACAAGGCTTACATGGATGCAACTGAACGTCTTTAGAATTCATAACAGCTTTACAATGCATAACTTTTAGAATTTTATAATTTTCCTGACAGTTAAAACTCTTCTTGAGACAGCTATTTCTGATTATGTAACCTGTCTAGAGTTAAACTAATTTCACAAATACTGCAGGCAGGGCACATATCTAGGTAGTCTGACCACAGTTTTACTTATATTTGTGTTGCTGTAAAACTCCAAACCACTAGCTAGCAAGTTCTGTCTAAATTACCCAAAATTACCAAGAGCAGATATTTTTTTTTTTAACATTTATTCATTTTTATTGGAAAGTCAGATATACAGAGAGGAGGAGAGACAGAGAAAAAGATATTCCGTTCAGTGATTCACTCCCAAAGTGATCACAACAGCCGGAGCAGCGCAGATCCGAAGCTGGGAGACTGGAATTTGCTTCAAGTCTCTCATGCGGGTGCAGGGTCCCAAGGCTTTGGGCCATCCTCTACTGCTATCCCAGGCCACAGGTAGGAAGCTGGATGGGGAGCAGGCTGCCAGGATCAGAACCAGCACCCATATGAGATCCTGGCGCGTTCAAGGCAAGGACTTTAGCCACGAGGCCACCTCACCGGGCCCAGGGCAGATATTTCATGACAGAGATAAGGACATCATTTTGCCACTGTTACCAACCATGCTTTAGAAGCATAAATATTATCCCACTTGAGCTTTTATTGTGGAAAATTTGGCAAGCAAAAATCTGCTCACATTAAGTTTCAGCCCATGGTGACAATGCCCAAGACAATTAACGACTCATAAATGCCAAAAATAGACCTACCTTTAATTTGAGAGATTCTCCAAGTAATGTTCCCTTATAATCTGTTGTGTAGGTCCAGTCATACGGTTTAATCACTTCCTTGGAGTGTTCGCCATCCGTCCTCCAATGGCAAAATGAAAATGATCAGATTCAGTGGCATAAAGATCGTCTGTGCTCATCTGTCCCATCGTGCAGTATTCTGCACTGCACTGCTATTCAACCCGCCGCGTGCCCACGCAGTCTCCCAGCTGTCCCCTGCCTGAGGACATGACTCAAGGCGATACTCTGCATCCTCCAGCGTATCAGAATTAGATAACTATATTATAAGTACAAAGTACAGAAGTGCTGGTTTGATTTTAAATTTAACTTCACTGCTTTACAAACATTCAATGCAAATCGTAAGAAAATGCTTTTCCTTAAAAACAGAAACAGCAGACAGAGTATTCCTGCCTCTTAACCAAATAACACTGAAAGCTTAAAAGGAAATCCTACACAGCTCAGTTCCATCGTAATCCACTTTAACTCAGCACGTATTCAAGTAGTGCGGTAATGAACTTTCATTTTCTGACTGACTAAATGAATGCCAGAATAGTGCAACTATAAAATAACATTAGCCCAACAACTTAATAAGATACACATATATCCTTACAAAATATTTCTTTCAACTCCTCTTTCTGTCCGACCCACACCTGCCCGCACTCTCACCTGCTTTCCTGCCACTCTTCAGCACAGGCCACCTTAAGCATCCCTTGGTAGTTGTTTACACATCTTAACGCATCTGTAGCGTTGAACTCAATCCCGAAGCCAGAGCCATGCTGGATCCTTAACACATTGTTTCCAAACATCATTTCGGGAAGAGATGGCATATGCAGCTCATCAGCTAACCTACAAGCAGAAAATCAGATGAAACTATTTCATATCGCTTTGGGCATACTCTTAACCTTTTCATCCCAGCAGAATTCTTCCTAATTTACTGGATTAAATGAGATGACTGAATAAGCATGGCTATTTGTATAGTAAATAAAACGTACTCATCACCCATACTTGCATAATTTGATCTTTAATCCTATGTTAGGGAGTGAGCTAAATAAGACAGATAATAAACATACAGATGCATAATCCGAGGGCAGTTAGTGGTAAGCGATACATGAGAACACAAAGCAAGGAATTGGGTTGGGGATACTATTTTAGATAGGATGATCAAAAATCACTCCTGAGACAGCAAAATTCAAGTCTCAAGAGTCCCCCGTGACAGGACAGGAGTTCTGACACAAGGGGCTAAGTCCCACTTGCAATGCCGACATTCCATCTCCGAGCACTGGTTCAAATTCCAGCTGCTGCACTTCCAACCCAGCTCCTGCTAATGTCCCTGAGAAGCAGTGGATGAGAGCTGGAGTAGAGGTCCTTGTCACCCTCATGGGAGACCTGTGCAAAGTTTCAGGCTCCTGGCTTCTTCCTAGCCCAGTGCTGTCCACTGTGGTCATCTGGGTAGTGAGCCAAAGGATGGAAGATCTCTTTCTTCCTCTCCTGGTAACTCTTGCCTTTCAAACAAAATAAATCAATCTTCAAAAAAAAAAAAAATCCAAAACACAAAACTTTGAAAGCATGTGACAAAACCAAACCAAATACTCTGTAAACTAAAAAAGGACCAGAGAGTCGGAGTGACTAACTTGAGACCACAGAACTAGCACTGGGGGCACCAGAGATCTCTCCAGTATAAGAGATTGCTTTATACATATGGATCTTGGGGTTGGCCCCAAAGCTCAGCTGGCTAATCCTCCACCCTGTGGTGCCAGGATCTCATAAGGGCAATGGTAAGAATCCCAGTTGCACCGTTTCCAATCCGTCTTTCTGCTTATGGTCTAGGAAAGCAGCAGAGGATGGCTCAAGTCCTTGTAGGAAACCAAGAAGACACTCCTGGGTCCTGGCTTCAGATCAGCTCAGTTCTGCCCACTGCAGCTACCTGAGGAGTGAACTAACAGTTGGAAGACTTTCTCTCTCTGTCTCTCCTCTAAAATCTGCCTTCCCAATAAAAATAAATAAATCTGCACCCGGCACGGTAGCCTAATGGCTAAAGTCCTTTGCCTTGAATGCACCTGCATTCCATATGGGCACTGCTGGTTCTAATCTCGGCAGCCCATTTCCCATCCAGCTCCCTTCTTGTGGCCTGGGAAAGCAGTCGAGGACGGCCAAGGCCTTGGGACCGTGCACCTGTGTGCAGAAGAGACTCCAGGCTTCAGATCAGCCCAGCTCCGGCCATTGCGGAGGCTTGGGAGTGATGGAAGATCTTCCTCTCTGTCTCTTCTCCTCAACTTTCCAATAAAAATAAATAAAAATTTAAAAAAAAAAGGTAAATCCAGCAATGCTGGATCTGTACTACTACAAAGCATCAAATGGCAAGATCCGAGTGGATGCTGCTCCCCTTTAAGTGGGGCAGGGTCTCTCCCATTCAAGAGGCTCCTTAGTAAGCTGAAGCAAGCACTGCAGTAGAGCAGGTTAAGCCACTTGATGTGCTGGCGACTTCTCATAGCACAGTGCCAGTCTGGAGTCCTGGCTGCTTCACTTCAATCCAGCTCCCTGCTAATGTACTTAGGAAAGCAGCAAAAGATGACATAACTGGGTCTTGCCCAGGAGTTAAGGATGGAATCCCAGCTCCTGACTTCAGCCGGCTCAAAGCTAACTTTTGCAGCCATGTTGAGACTGAGTCAGCAGATGGAAGATCGCTCTCTCTCTATCACATAGAAAGTGTAAAGTGGTAATCCCTACAATGAGTCTATTACACAGTAGCTGCTTACTTTCAGAAAAACCAACAGTATGTATGAGCATCATGCTTGATGATTGCATCACCGTGGTCACAATCATCAACTCTCACACTAGACTTGAAAGATTAGCATCTTGGGTCCGACACTGTGGCACAGTGCATCACGCTGCCACCTGCAACAAAGAGAACCTTTTTTTTTTCTTTAAGATTATTTATTTTTATTGGCAAGTCAGATCTACAGAGACAAGGAAAAGCAGAGAAGGATCTTCCATCCAATGATTCACCTCCCAAGTGGCCACAATAGCCAAAACTAAGCTGAAGCCAGGAGCCAGGAACCTCTTCTGGGTCTCCCATGCAGTTGCAAGGTCCCACGCCTCCGGCCATTCTCCATTATTTCCCCAGGCCACAAGCAGGAAGCTGGAAAGGAAGTGGAATGGCCAGGATACAAACCAGTGCCCATATGAGACCCTGGCACACGCAAGGCGAGGACTTTAGCCATTAGGCTACTGTGCTGGGCCCAGAGACATCCCTTTTGAAAGCCAGTTTAGTTCTCATTGATTCATTTTCAATCCAGCTCCCTGCTAATGTTTCTGGGAAAGTAGAAGATGGGCTAAATCCTTAGGCCACTCACTGAGGAACCCAAATGCAGTTCTAGGTACCTGGCTTTGGGTTGGCCCAGACAGACTTGGCTTTTTTGGCCATTCTGGGAGTGGGCAGTGAGCCAGTGGATATTCTTTCCTACTTCTGCCAAGAAAAAAGGAAAGAAGGGAGATAAGGAAGAAAGGGAAAGGTAGAAAAAATATTTGGGCCGGCTTTGTTACAGCGGGTTAGGCTACAGCCTGTGATGACCTATGTGACCACAAACCTGAATTCCGGTTGCTCCATTTCCCATGCAGCCCTCTGTTGCATGTGCCTGGAAAGGCAGTGGAAGATGGCCCAAACTACCAGGGCTCCTGTCACCCACATGGGAGACCGGATGGAGTTCTAGGCGCCTGGCTGCAGCCTGGACCATTCCCGGCCAGTGCACCCAACAGGGGAGTGATCCAGTAGACAGAAGATCTTTTTCCATTTCTCCCTCGCTCTATGTAACTCTGCCTTTCAACTAAATAAGTGAAGACAGAGAAAGAGAGGGAGGGAAGGAGGAAGGAAGGAAGGAAGCCTGGCACCTCAGTCAAAAGCCAAAAAAATTTCAAAACTATCCCCATTCCTGAGGTTACTTCTCTAGTCTGGGATTTTCCAGGTCATATTAAATTCCTACTACTCTAGGAAATCTGATTCTCCGCTACTTGCACAGGGAAGGCTCAACAGATACTCCCTGCAAGTATATTTTCCAATTACCTTAGGGCTCAAAAGTATTTTATTGATTCTGAAAACTTTTCAAACTATCTCACAGACCTTCTTGTGTGTGTGTATGTGTATGTGTGTGTGTCTGTATGTTAGTTAAGGTTTATTTATATATTTGAAAGCTAGAGTGACAGGGTAAGGACAGACAGGGGCATCCTCCAGGTGCTAGTTCACTCCAAATGGCCGTAACACACAGGTCAGGGCCAGGCTAAAAGCAGGAGCCTGGGACTCCGCCAGGGTCTCCAATTTGGTTAGCAGGAATTGAAGGACCTGGAGAGTCACCTGCTTCCCCAGGGCCGCAGGAGGAAGCTGGATGGGCAGTGGAGACAGGCTTCAATGCCAGGCACTCCGGCATTGAAGGGGATCAGAGTCTCCAAGCTGTCACTGAATATTGTACCACAAATACCTGCCCCCCACTTTTTTTTAAAATAAAGAAATACTATTCATTGATCACTTTTTATGCAATATATCAAGAAATAACTGACAATACTTTGATGATTACAAAGTTAGTGGTATTCCTGGTATGTGATGAATCAATGCCAGAAACACTGAACCTTCAGGACCTGCTATCGTGACTGGCTTAACAAGCTTTTATAAATTAAGCTATTGACCTACCCCTGCATTCTCTACCCCAACTCATCCCTGATATGCTTGTCCTCCTAACCATTTGATTAGTTTTTCATGAGCCAAAATCAGAAAAATAGAACAAACCACAAACTTTCAGAAAGTATATCACAGGGATTTCAATTCTGGGGAACGAAATGGCTCACTCGTGGAAGCGCTATAGACCCATTTTATTAAATAAAACATATCAGGATTTACCCAGTTTTCTCATCTCGGTAAGGAGATTGTTGCCAGTGATAAAAAAATTTTTCTTTTAGTAATTTTAAAGATAAATGATTATATCTACATGATTAGATACAGAAATGGGTTTTGATACAGCAATCTTTACACTGCCCCAAGTTAAAATACTGACTTCTACGTGTTAACAGAAAATATGAAACAATATTTTACAATTCAAATGAGCATATCTGTCTCTAACTACTGCAGGATGCTTCCCTAGAAGCAGTCTCACCTCCAATCAGTTGGTTTCAAAACTACAAATCTTTAAAACAAAATACAAGATTTAATGGCAGCATTCTATGACAGCAACCTTAGAGCTGATTTTTTTTGCCTTTTTTCCCCTTTCAATTTTTTAGAAGATTATTTGTTTTTTACTATAAAGGTAGATTTACAAAGAAGAGACAGAGAGCTCTTCCATCTGCTGGTTCGCGCACCAAACGGTCATCATACTAGCCAGGGCTGAGCTGATCCAAAGACAGAAGCCAGGAACTTCTTCCAGATCTCTCATTGGTCGCAGGGTCCCAAGGCTTTGGGCCATCCTTCACTGCCTTTCCAGGCCACAAGCAGGGAGCTGGACAGGAAGTGGAGCAGCCAGGATACAAGTTGGTGCTCTTTTGGGATCCTGGCATATACAAGGCAAGACTTTCACCACTGAGCCACTGTGTCAGGCCCTCTTTGAAAAAAAAAATTATATATATATATATATATGTGCGTGTGTGTATTTGAAAGAGTGACACAGAGAGAGAAGGAGCTCTTTCTTCCACTGGTTCATTCCCCACAGGGCCAGATCATCTGGGTCTGTGCCAGGTCAAAGTCAGGAACTTGGAATGGCATCCAGGTCTTCCACATGACTCCCAGTGGCCAGGGTACGTGGGTGATCTTCCACTGCCTTCCCAAGCACAGTACCAGGAAACCAGATCAGATCGGAGCAAATGGACTTCCAATCAGCCCTTCAGATATGGGATACCACCATCCTGAGCAGCAGTTCAACCTGCTACGCCATGACAGCCCCAAGACTTGTCTTCTTTCAAGAGTCATTTGGAATACAGAGAGCAAGAGAGAGTGAGTGAGAGAGCGAGAGAACAAGAGTGAGAGAGAGAGAGACTGACCTTCCATTGGCTGGTTCACTCCCCCAAATGCCTGCAATAGTCTGGGCTAGGCCGTCCTGATGTCAGGGATCAGAACCTGCACCCAGGCCTCCCCACGTGGGTGGCAGGAAGTCCAGCACTCCAGGATTCTCCTGCTGCATCCCAGGTATCTCAGCAGGAAACTGGATCAGAAGCAGTAAGGAGACTAAAACCAGGTACCCCAATACATGCTCTAAGTATGCCACACAGCAGGAATGACTGTCCCAAGGCTTCAGGGGTTTTGTGGTCAGGTAGCTATAGTTGTTACATAAAGTAAAGTGATACCGTATTGAAGAATTATCCTTATATAAAGTCATCAAAAAAGCAATGCATATGCAAAATCCACAATTACTATCCTTCCAATCACTTTAAATATATTTTCAATGAGACATACCAGATGGGTTTTTGTGTATATAATAAAAACAAGCAAGAAAGCAAGCCTGCATGACCACATTAAACAATTCAGGTTTCAGACGGAAAAACACTAGTCCTGTTGGAAACATCTATCTGATTCCTAGATAATCACAGGACAAGAACTTTAAAAAACAAAGACCATTTTAATGTTATAGTACTGCTTAGACAACTTAACACACTGTAATCCTTGTTTCCAAGAGCACTATAGAAACTCTGGTCTTAAATGACAATTACATCAACAGTACTTACGCAGAAGAGAGAGCAATTGGAGTCATTTGTTAAAAAAAAACACTTTTCCGATAAAATTCTCAACTTGTTACAAGTCTTAAAAAGTGATGATGAGAGCCTGGTGTGGTAGCCTAGCGGCTAAATCCTCACCTTGCAACCACCAGAATCCTATATGGGCACACATGGCCTGCTCTACTTCCCATCCAGCTCCCTGCCTGTGGCCTGGGAAAGCAGCAGAGGATGGCCCAAAGCTTTGGGACCCTGCACCCGTGTGGGAGGCCTGGTAGAAGCTCCTGGCTCCTGGGTTCTGCTCAGCTCTGGCCACTGAAGCCACTTGGGGAGTGGAATCAGTGCATGGAAGATCTTTCTGTCTCTCCTCTCTGTAAATCAGATTTTCCAATAAATAAACTAATCTTTAAATAAATAAATAATATTTTTTTAAAAAAACAAAGATTGATAAGAATTCTGCAAAAAGATTTGATTCCTAAAAATCTTAAATACTTTACTAACTATCATGTACTATATTTGAAATATTATAAAATGTGAATCTGGTTTTCATTCAAATGATTTCAAAAACCCTGTAGTCCTACAAAAGATTCTAGTTATCTACATGAAAGAATCCCTGTGACTAACCTATGTTGCTTCAACTCAGAGTATTTCAAACACTCCATTTCTAACACCAAGCTTCACTCATTCTAGAATTTCTTTATTTATTTGCAAAACAGAAAGTTACAGTGGGCACTTCCAGCCACATTTTCCCTCTGGAAATGTCTGCAAGACCATCCTGAGGTTTTCTAGACACTAACGGAGGGATGGGCAACTTTTTTCTGTAAAGGACCACTTCAATATTTATAACATAATTTGGTCCATATAAAAACATCAACTTAAAATTAGCCTGCTATAGATTTATTGAATATAGAGTCCAGCCTGTAGTTGCTTTGGCGGAACCAGAACACGTGATTTCTAGGCCCTGGAGCAGATATTCCCCACCCCTGCCCTAGGGAAACACTTGAGTAAAGGCTACCTTCCTTAGAGGGTGAGTACACCAAGAGGAGCTATTTTAAAAATACGTGATGGTCTGGCGCAATATCCTAAAGTCCATGCTGGGATCCCATATGGGCGCTGGTTCTAATCCCAGCAGCTCCACTTTCCATCCAGCTCCCTGCTTGTGGCCTGGGAAAGCAGTCGAGGATGGCCCGAGGCCTTAGGACCCTGCGCCCATGTGGGAAACTCAGAAGAAGTTCCTGGCTCCTGGCTTCTGATCAGCTCAATTCTGGCTACTGTGGCCGCTTGGGGAGTGAATCATCAGACAGAAGATCCTCTCTGTCTCTCCTCCTCTCTATCTGCCTTTCCAATAAAAATAAATAAATCTTAAAAAAAAAATCATACATGAGATTACAGATCTAAACAAACCTGATTCCTTTAAACCATCCCATGAATACAGTAACAATTGGAAGAATTTACAAGTAAACCACATTGGCATCCTAATTTGAGGCGTGCTGCTTTGCAAATAGTACAATTATATATGGTGCAATACACAATTGAAAGTTATAAGGAGAGGAAAAACTCATAGCAATCCAATCTGTTGTTTGCTGGTGGACATTTTTTTTTTTGTCTGTATTTTCCAATGAGTCTGCAAGAATGCTATTACTTAGATATTTAAATCAGGAAGCTAACCAGGCTTTCTGGACTTGTATCTCTCTCCTGCTCTGAAGTTTAGCAAAATGAAGGTGTCGCCCAGGGTTCCACCTCATGAGCTTTTTATTCTCCTAGAGAATGTCAGTGGCCCAGGTGCCCCCCCTTTCCAGTACCTATGTGCATCACACACGCCACAGCTCACCCAGCAAGCGGCCCCCAATCTGTTCCTCTTGCCCCTTACCCAACAGCAGCAATGCAACAGCTCAGGGCCCAAGTCTTCCTTTTTTTCCCGTATCCAACAGCCACACAATCTCCCCTTCTAACTTCCTCCTATTCTCCCACGGGTACCTCGCTCCCCTCCCAGGCACATCACAAGTCTTCCCCCAAACTGCCCGATTCCTTCCCTCGGGTACCCCAGGGGTTCCCATTCGCACTGTGACGACGGGGCAGGCACAGGCTGTCCGCTCTGCACGAGCTGGGCCCGCTCCGTGCGCACATCCTCCCTCTCACACTGTTACGCAGCCTGTGACATCCCTGTCTGTCCAATCCCTGGAGGCTCCGATCTGCCTTTTCAGCGCCTAGCACCGCACCTGACCAGCTGAAAATGAGACCTTATCCATCACCCCCCATCGCCAGCCACCCAGGAAAACCAGTCAGGGCCGCCCCCGCCATCCCCCAAGCGTGGAAGAGGAAGGCGACGTTCGGGAAGGACCCGAGTCCCGCAGCCCAGCCAAGGGCGGCACCCGGGGGGGGGTCTGGCCAGGTGGGTGGGGAAGGGATGTCCACCCGAGGACCCGCGGGCGCCCCGACCCCACAGCCCCGGCCCCTCACTTCTCCACGTCCGCCGACTTCATGATGTGGGTCTTGGCCGCCGTGAGCTTCCAGGGTCCGAAGGAGAAGTCCTGGTGGCTGCTCTGGAAGCCGTGGATCATCATGGTGGCCTCGGAGCCCGCGGGCAGCCCTGGGAACAGGTCGCGGCGCTAGCCCGGCCGGCTTCCTCGCCTCTCCTCCGGCCCGGCCCCCTCGGCGTCCCAGCCGTTAGCATGCCCGGCCCCGCCCCGCCGCGGCCGCCCGACGCCCACACCGCCTTCCGCCTTCTCCGCCCCTTTGCCTTTTGCTTCCGGGGTCACGGGAGAATGTTGCGTGACCCCGCGTCCTAGAACATTCGCCGGGGGCGGGGCTTCGGCGGCGGGGGCGTGGCTAGAGGCGTCTCCAGGGTCTTCTGAGAAATCACCGACACACCTCGCGAAGCCTGGTACTTACTTCCTGGATTAGTGAGTCTTAAGGAATAGGCAACGTTTTTGTGTCGCGGCGTGTAAAAGCAGCCGGCCCGGAGGTCAGGAGGCTTTGGAAGTGGCCACCTGCCCACTGCTGACCCAATATTTCACCCTCTGGATGTTTCAAGAAGTTTCGCTGTCTGGCTGCTACCTAGGCATCCAGTACAGTGGAAGTAACATTAGCGATCTGGTGCTTAATTCACTTTCTTCTGTTGTTGATTAACTCATTTGAAAGGCAGGCGGGGAGATAAAGATCTCGCGTCTGCTACTTCCCGCGCTGGGACAGGGCAACACCAGCATCCCAGAACTCAGCCCTGGTCTCCAGCCCGGGTGCCAGAGAGCAAGTACTGGAGGCACTGTTTGCTACTTCCCTGGGAGCTCATCCACAGAAAGCTGGATCAGAAACGGGAGTGGCAGCTGAGCTGGGGTGTGCGCAGCCCTGCCCCCGAAGTCCACCTCCACAGTGCAACCGCACTTCTGTGGGCAAGCCACTAGGAAGCTCAGGCTTCAGAGCATTTCCAAAGATCTAAATCGCGTTGATTCCAACGTGTCCTTACCAACCCTCTGCCCTGCACGTTCCACCTAAAACCTTTCTTAGTCTGGCAAAGAATTCAGACCTTGAAGCTTGCACTAAAACTGCCTTGCTCTGATACAATTCCTTCTAAAACACTTTTCCCAATCCCTGGAGATGGATTAAATCGTCTGTAAACCAACATACTGATTTAGGCCAATTTTATTTATTCCAGTTATCACGAGTCCACTTTTCCAACGGAAAATGAAAAACGGAGTACCTGCTATTTGTCAAGGATCTTTTTTTATTACCAAATAACACCCACGCCCTGTGTTCTAATAAGTTGACAATGGAAAGGAAAGGGAGGGACACAGCACAGTGCCTTGACAGGCTGATTGTCTGCCTGCAGCGCCAGTATCCCTTGGGCACTAGTTCAAGTCCCAGCAGCTCCACTTCCCATCCAGCTCCCTGCTTGTGGCCTGGGAAGGCAGCAGAGGATGGCTTCAGCCCTTGGGCCCTTGCACCCACTTGGGAGACCTGAAGACAAGCTCTTAGCTCCTGGCTTCAGACCAGCCCAGGAACCACTTGGGGAGTGAACCAGCAGATGGAAGACCTCTTTATTTCTGTCTTTCCTGTTTCTGTAAAATCTGCCTTTCCAAAAAAAAAAAAAAAAAGTTGTAGAAAACGTAACAGTGGAATCCCAAAACATGATGGGAATGTCCTGCCTAGGGTTCAGCTAAGCTGTGTTTCCTTATTGCTCGCGTTAATTGAACCTGATCTTGTGCTGGACTCTGCTTTGTAAATGCCTGCAATGAAAGAATCTCAACTGAATTTGAACTGTGGTAATGCAACAAGGTGGAGGAATCCACCATGGGGGGGGGCGGGGTTTGGGGAGGGGAAGGGGGAATCCCAGTGCCTATAAAACTGTGTCACATATGCAATGTAATCAATAAAAAAATAAATAAATAAGGCCCGGCGGCATGGCCTAGCAGCTAAAGTCCTTGCCTTGAACGCACCAGGATCCCATATCGGCACTGGTTCTAATCCCGGCAGCTCCACTTCCCATCCAGCTCCCTGCTTGTGGCCTGGGAAAGCAGTCAAGGATGGCCCAAAGCTTTGGGGCCCGGCACCCGTGTGGGAGACCTGGAAGAAGTTCCTGGATCCTGGCTCTGGATCGGCATAGCATTGGCCGTTGCACTCACTTGGGGAGTGAATCATCAGATGGAAGATCTTCCTCTCTGTCTCTCCTCCTCTCCGTATATCTGACTTTGTAATGAAAATAAATCTTAAAAAAAAAAAAGAAAGAAAAAGGCATTACAATGATTCACATGAATAAACTATGATACCCCTTAACCTTTAGTACTTGGTTCAAGTTGTCTGTACTTGGTGCAAAGGATAATCTCAAAAAAATTGCACTCAAATATATAAAACAAGGTGCAGGGTAAACACTTGACACAATGATTAGGACATCACTTGGGATGTCTGAATGTTTGAGTTCAAGTCCAGGCTCCACTGTTAGTCCAACTTCCTGCTAATGCACGCACCAGGGGAGGCAACAGGAGATCGTTGAAGTATTTGGGTCCCTGCTGGCCACGTGTGAAACTCAGACTGGATTCCAGGTTCTGCCTTTGATCTAGTTCAGCCATGGCTGTTGCCAGCATCTGTGGGTGAAACGGCAGATGGCACCTCTCTCTCTCTCTCTCTCGCTCTTGCTCTCGCTCTGTCTTTCAAACACATTTTTAAGCGTTTTTTAAAAACTAAATAATGCAGATAATACTACATAACAACTAGGTAAGAGAAGAGTAATGAATTCTGTGTGGGTAAAGAATGATTCACGATGAAGCTGATTCAAGATTAAGGTTTGAAAGAGGAAAAAAGTCACACCAGGAAGAGACAGTTTGCTTAAGGAACAAGGACTAGCAGAAGCACAGGTGTGGAAATGTGGAACATCACCAACAAGTAAGGAGCAGAAAGTGGTTGGGGGCTTGCTCAAGCAAATTGCTGACGACAGAGTGAGTTAAAAAAAAATAGGGGAGGAGCAAATCATGAAAAATCATGAAACAACTTGGAATGAACGAAGAATCATGGTGCTCCAAGGAAACCAACACTCCAATCTTTGTACTGCATTCATTGTAATTTGTCTGTCTTGTCCCAGAATGATGCTTTTCTGTCCAAAACTTGTAACATAGCGGGCAGACTGATGGACTTGGAAAACGCTTGTAATTTGCTAAATAGCCAGTACACAAGCCTCCCCAGCCTTCCTTCCTTGCAGCTTTCATTCAGAGGGTTGAAGAACTGTTAACCATTGCTTGGAAGTTTGGAATTGGGAAAGGGGATATGATTCCAGGGGTAACTCAAGCTTTTCTTGACCATCATCAGGGTTGCATTGGTAGTATAAACCAAGTAACACCTTACAGTGATTCCTGACTTGCTGTTTTCCCCACTTCTCACTCATGGTTCCTGTCAAAGATCAAGGTGGATGAATCCATCCTGATCATCACTCTGTCCTTACTACTTACTACAGTTACTGTAGTTAGATAGCCTTTGAGCAGCGCCTATTTTATCATTCTCATCTTGATTCCAATGGAATCAAGAACACATAGTAACAGAACATCCTTCATCCTTGACTCCAGCATCCAGAGCTCAGCCAGAAGGCACTTTGCAAGGATCCTGGTGCTCCTTTAACTAATGCATTTCTAGGTAAAGGGCACATCCTTTGGACCTCTCAAGGGACATAATTTGGAGGTGGATCAGTAGATTACGTGTGATAAAATCCACTCCAACATTATTGTTACTTTAGCAGTAACTGTTCTACAGTAAACCAAGGAGAACCTGTGCCATGGTTCTTTCAGAAAACACCATGGTTGAATTTGGATTTTAGTCAGCCTACTGAGCAAATAAGTTCCAGTTGCTTATAGTAGCACAGCCCATGCAGAATGTCTATTGAGCACAATTTAGGAATATGATCAACTCACTCCAGTCACAATCCCCCTTCTTTGGACCAACTACTTCAGATGAATTCCAACACTTGTTTTCCAGAATTTTAAAAAAATATTTATTTATTTGTATTGGAAAGGCATATATACAGATAGGAAGAGAGGGAGACGAAGATTTTCTGTCAGATGATTCACTCCCCAAGTGGCCACAATGGCTAGAACTGAGCCAATCCGAAGCCAGGAGCCAGGAGGCTTTTCCGGATATCCGACATGGGTGCAGTATCCCAAAGCTTGGGGCCATCCTCAACTGCTTTCCTAGGCCACAAGCAGGGTTAGCTGAATGGGAAGTGGAGCTGCCAGGATTAGAACCGGCGCCCATATGGGATCGCCATGTGTTCAAGGTGAGGACTTTAATGGCTACACTATCACGCCGGGCCCATTTTCCAGAATTTTTCTAGTATATATTAGCAAAACACTGAAAATTCCTTTGCTACCTTCAAGCTCCCACCTGGGTCTGACATGGCAGCCAGCCATCTGGGCATCCTGAGAGTAAATGCCAGTTGAGGATCTAGGAGCAATAAGTGAAGGGTGTGGGCACAAAGAGAATTGAAATGTTCTTGCAAACTGGTGGCCCCAGGTGAGGTCATTCTTGAGTCTTCAGACACATCTAAACCAACCTTAGCAGAGAGTAGAAGGGCTGGGGATTATGGAATTAGGGAGGGGAGGGCAGGGGAGGGAGGAAGGAAAGGGAGGAGAGGAGAGGAGAAAGAAACACTTGGAGTAACCTTGCTTTGTAACAATCTACTTGCTCAAGGGCTGACCAAAGTACCAAGGAAGCCAATGTCAACAGGATGAGGTGCTTCCCTTTGTGGAACTTACTTCTACACATAGAAACCAAAGACATAAATGGTTACTCCAATGCCATTACTTGTGTGTGAAGTGCTATGAGAAAACAGAGAAAGGAGCTACTGATCACAGAAGAATGGTCAAAAGATGTTCATTTATAAGACCAAAAAAGAAGACCCTGATCCCTTTGTGGGGAGATAAGAAGCATGTGGTATCACAGGTGAACTGCAAGTAGTCTGAAAAGCTCTGATATGACAGCCTAAATTATCCTTATATGAAAACCATTGGAGGTCTGTTTCATTTGTGGGATTTTTTTTTTTTTTTTTTTTTTGCTGTTTTTGGTTTTGGTTGCTCTATAAACACACAGCCAATGAAAGTTTAATATCAGCAGAATAAATAATTCCAGCATATATTCCAAAAGAGATTCCCCAAAACCCAATTATTTTAAAATC